GCCCTGTTTTAGCCAAACCAGGACATTTAGAAATGTAGAACCTCTAAAAACATATACATTGATATTAAGCACTTCACCAAAATGAATCATGAAATAAAGTGGTTGAAATATTAATGAATAACCAACAAGATCCTTTTTGCATATATGGAATTTTCAATATTCTACTTGACAAACTTGAGCATTTTCACTCCTGAGAACATTCACTAGATGATCCTTATTAGTCTTAGATCAACTTCTAAATATACTTTAAAAAATGAAAGATAGGTATTTTGTCACTCTAATTCAGAAGGAAAGTTAATCGGTTTTAGACTTGAAAACGTGAACTAGAAGTCCTCTGTCTCTCTTAGTTGGAAACAAATCAATAGCTAAGAGTAACTTCTTTCACCAACCATTTTACCTTACTATTTTCCTGACTTTACACTGAAAAAGACTTCAAACTATGACTTGGGCAGTTAAAGGTATGAACTGTTTTTAAGCAACTAGAGTCTTTCAGCTGTTAGGTGCTGCCTCTTAAGAGACAAGAGCAGACTAACTACAATTGAATGCCTTCCCTATCAATTAAGTCTTACCATTTGAGAATGGCCTTAATGTTCCTACTACACTTTCATAGAATCATACACTTAAAGACACCAGGAAAAAAAAAAGAGAGTGGCCAGTAATTCTCATTCTAATTCTGACTGTAATGTCACACCAAGTAGAAGATAGAGAGGGAAGGTAAAATTGACAGAAAAAATGGTCAGAAAAAAAAGAATATACAAAAACTTCAAAGTCAATGCTTGACATGGAGGAAAATCATTAGTGTTTAATCAAGTTTGGTATTATGTACTCCTGATCCCAAACAAAAGCTGAGGAGTCCATTAAGTTTACTTAACTGTTTTTCAAAAAATCACAATGTATTAGAAATCTAATTCAAAAGAAAGGTAGGATTAGTTCCCATACTAACAGGATGCATCACAACCATATATTGCAAACCAGCATTTCATCATATAATCCTCGCATAAAAACAGTCTTACGCTACCATTTATAGCAACCACTATTAATACCTTTGTTTCTGGCCAGCACGCTCTGAGAACAGCTTCTGTCCTGAAGTACACAAGTAGCTTGCTATCCTCCTCACTGAGATGGAAGGCTTGCTCCAGAATTTGCAATACCCTGATGCGAGGTTTCACTGCTAAAGAGTCATCACCACAGAAAGGTCTCAACCACTCCAGAAGGTCATCTGAAGAAACTACTTTCTCTCTGTAATTAAACAATACTGTGTTAACCAGTTGTTGGTAATCCTCATGAAAGTAATACATGTATTTTCAAAGTTGTTAACAAGTACATTCAATGTATAACAAATACATATCACTGGAAATGGAAGAGCTTACCCCTGTGAGACTGCAGAGAAACTAGCCCTCATAAATCAGGTGCCTAAAGCTAAGTGACGTAAGAACTTTTTTTGAATTTCAAATAACCATGTAATACCATAGAAATCTATCTATACAGTCACATATTCTCCCACATACTACCTTGACTGTCAATTGTTTGTAATGGTGCTGGATTTCAGCACCTGAAAATCCAAGCCTTTTTATGGTGCCTGCTCCTGACTGATGCCTGCACTTCCATATCATCTGACTTTATGGAAAACCAGTCTGCCTGCCTGCATTTTAAGTATGACATTTTTATATCTGATGTTTATTCATATTGCCCTATATTATCCTTCTTTCCACTCCATGTACACAAATTAGTTTTTCCTGATTGTCGCTCTAACCATTTTTTACTTTTTTCTGCACCATCTCTAGCCAGCTTATTGTATGTTCTAGTACGACAATGATTGCAGAATGCCCATAATTCCTAGAAAGAAAAAGAGAGATGTTAAAAAGCTAAGTTTTGGGGGGGTTCTGACTTGGCTAATTAGAAAAGCTCTTAAATAAATAATTTGATTCAAAAAGTGTATTATATTGAACACATTCTAGCTGTGTGAAAGCATTTACAGTACAGATATTACCACAAACTCATCAACCAGCTAGCAGACAGAATAATCTGTTATGTCCCTTAGAGGATCTAAACTAGCATGTAACAAATCAGTAAATGCTATTCTGCTATCTTTCAGTAGTATTTTAAACTAAAGCTAATTTTTTTTCTTAAAAAAAAATATCAAGAAAGTGGTTCCAGGTGGAGTGTGATTAGGAATTAGAAAGGAACTAATGTTCCCTTATTTGTCTTAACAAGACAGACGGGAAAGTAATATCAGACAGAAAACACCAATTTAACCTGTCTTGCAGCTCTGAAATAATAAACATTGACAGCTTAGGTTTTCATATTACAAGGATTTCAATTTTACTTAGGCTTTCTATTGTCTGAATGATGCTGTTAGCTCAGAACTTCAGCTAAATTAGACACGCCTCTGCTGAACAGGTGGCATTCAAACTGTAAATTAAAAGTTTGGGAATTAAGAGGACCTGCTGGAATATTTCAAGAGTTTTGTAGAGCTCACACTTGATGTTTATACATGTTTTCCTGAGGGAAAGATTTATATTTTGCCAATTGAATAGCTAAGATTTAAGGCAATAAATAAGTGCAAGCATTTAAATGAATGTAAACAATCTCTTGTAATCACAATAACTTTCACTCCAGCTTATTGTTTCAGCAGTTAAATGTTGAAGTATACAAATAAAAGACTTCAGAAAGTGCATCTCAGAATAAAATAGTACCGACTCTCCCATTCTACCTTACAATATTGCAAATGACATTTACTGTAGATTTTTACATCAATTCAGCTTACTTCAGTATCCAATATTTAACTAATTTAATGATGGCAAAGAAGCCTCCACACAATAGTGTGATTGTTTTTTGCATCGCTACCAGAGAGTATGAAATTGTATTATTATTATTATCATACAGGAGTTCTTAGTTTGCACATCTGGAAAGAAAACAGATTTTTTTTTTTCCTTCCTTGTCTTTACTAGAAATGCAATGCAAAAGGTCAGTGAGACATACCATTATGTGACCTGAAATAAGGACATCCCCAAAAGTGGAGAAAAAAAAAAAAATGTGGTGAAGCATCATACAGCATTTGTGAAATTGTTTCTGCATTATACCCAACAAATAATGACAAATTTAGATATCTAAATCCAGGTATCTGAAAGTGAGTCATTATTATTTTCAATTTATCTACTAAACTGAAACAAAAGCAGCGAAGTACTCCTGGCAGATATACAATCTACAAGTAGAAAAAATCATTTTGTCGAATCATCATAATACAGTTATCTAACTTTTAGGTTCAGTGACTTGCTTTCTTCCAAATGGTCAAGTAAAGGCTTCTGTCAGGGCTCGGACTTTAAACCTGATAAATGATAGTCTGTTCCAGAATAAAGTCTTAGAAAATCAAGTGCAAACCCATTATATATATCCATGAAGAAAAATCATCCATATTCAGTATCGTACCTTCAATGCCTACATGAGAAGTATCTTTCAAAGTCTTAACTAAAGAATTCATAGAGGAAGTTCTTACCCTTTCTCAACACTTGCATGCACTGCAGAAACAATGCCTTCTAGGATTCCAAGTGCATCTTTCACTGATGTAGATGAGCTACCATTTCCACTGTTAAAGGAAGACATAAAATTACCATTAAAATGGTCCTTAGTATCATATCTAGTCCTACCCACCTGTAGGATTTACATGGATTGTTCAATAATTATAGCCATTTTCCACTTTCCCTGCTTAACTAGTACTTTCATTTTTATGCTAAAGTAATGTGAGGAGCAACATAGAGTGGGAAAGACAGATACTAAAATATTTAAGTGAAACTTGAAAGAAAAAGAATAGTTAAAATTTAGCACTTCTAACAGATTAGGTCAGCAAAATATACAGATGTAATCTCATTACCTTAAAGATTTCATCAATATCAACTAAACAGATTACACATAAATGTCACCATCTTTTCTTTTCAAATACCATCTTGCAGTATCACTATTGGTTTAAACTAACTTCACTGTAATCTGAGTCAACAGGATCCTATCTGCTGATTCAGCAGATTTCTTCCCCCCTGCCCCACCTTTGGGTTTCATTTTCAGTTGAATCAACCAGGTTCATGATTACCAGAACCAACAAAATTAAGAAGTAGGAATACATGGTCAAGAACAGCATGCGGGAAAGGGAAAGGTCAAGCCATCCATGTAACAGCATCCACTATGCATGTGTAGGAATAGAAAAATGTGAATCACACTGCCCATTAGACTTTCCAGTTATAATAAAGTGTTCTTCCACAGGTCAAAAGGTAGTAAAGGGGGGGAGGCGGGCAGAAATCACTCTGGTAGGAGAAAAAGCTTCACTGATAGTGCAATGAAAGTGACATTTTCTGCTAAGATTTTCAGCAAAACAAACCTAAGATGTGACTTGGTGCTGAAAGAGGGGGGGATTTTGCACTGGTTCTCTAACAAAGCGCACTGTTTCTCTTCATGGAAACCATGGCAGTGGCAATGACGCCTGGACTAACTAGAAAAACAACAGTTTTGCCTGTCTTAGAGTTTGTCAATGCTGCACCAAAGAAAGATAAAGAAAGGCAAATAGTTCCAAAGTTAGTTTACCAAAGATGACCCAAAACCCCAGAGATAAACGTATTTTCTCTACAGTTCATCAGCATAGCAAAGTTCTTGTGCTACTAAAAATGTCAGCCTCTTCGTATATGATCTCTTAATAACAATGAATACCTACCCAGACTACCCTGACTTCTGTCTAAAGCCAAAATACACTGTATATCTGATAGTAATGTGTAAAAATGACTGTAATATTTTACAATTTTTCGTCATTAGTGTTTATAACTTTGTAATTTATTACTTCAGAAAGATAAATACATTGCCTAAAAAATTACTACACTATATAGCAGAGACACCTGAATTTTTATAACCTTTAATGTCTTCCTGCATTCGGAACTTTCAACTTTTCTATTTTTTATCTTAATAAGTGACCAGTACTTCAGCGAATAACACTCGTTTTAAAACCAACATACAACTCCGTTCAGAACAGATGCAAAATAATTTGTTGCATGATGAAACCTTAGCATATTCATTTTGTAGTGCTATGCTGCACTCGTAAGTTCAAAGTAGGAGTAGAAAGCTTGTAACACCAGTCTTTTTCTCAAAAAATACCATTACATATGACTATGATGGAAATGCCATTCTTAATACCAATACTATCATATGGTAGCTAAATAAATTTTAAGAGTGAAGTTTAAATTTAGATATTTTTCTAAACATCTTCAGAATATTTGGAAACAATCAAATTATAATTTATAGTACAGAAATATCCAGTATTCTAGACTCCCAAAGAGACATAATGTGTGTCCAAAAGATAAAATTTATTTTCACAAAAAAACCCCCCACATCAAAAATTTCAATCCTGCCCCCCAAAAGTATTTTTCACAGAAAAGGAGACACAACAGAATTGAATGCTCTTTTAACAAAAAAAAAGATCACATTTAGATTACACTAGTTCTGCACAAGTGTGGAAATGGTAAAAAGAACAGCAGTATTAAAATAATCATTTTACACAAGCAGTTACATGCATTAGGAGATGGTTTCAAATTTGTTTTAAAATAAAAAAAGCTAAGGAAATTTAAGATATCTTCCCAGAGTGAAGACAAAAATAAGCCACTTCATTATTGTTCTGTTTAGAGGCCAGATTTAAATATTCCTGTATTTTTACGCTTTTTGTGTTTTTTCAATTAAGTTTGTAATAAAAAGACAACAAAGGGCATTAACATGGCATATCTAAAGAAAACTACAATATTTATAAAGCTTGCATACTAAGAAGCAGATGACGATTGAAATAGACAAGAATACGACATTTGCAGCCTTTCAGTACTTAAAGGGGGGTTATAAGAAAGATGGAGACAAACTTTTTAACAGGGCCTTTTGCAATAGGACAAGGAGTTGTGGTTTTAAACTAAAAGAGGGTAGATTCAGACTAGATATAAGGGAGAAATTTTTTACAATGATGGTGGTGAAACACTGGAACAGGTTGCCCAGAGAGGTGGTCGATGCCTCATCCCTGGAAACATTCAAGGTTGGGCTGGATGGGGCTCTGAGTAACCTGATCGAGTTGAAGATGTCCCTGCTCATTGAAGGGGGGTTGGACTAGGCGACCTTTAAAGGTCCCTTCTAACCCAAACTGTTCCATGATTCTATGGACTACAGAAACGGAGATCTTACAGCTCTACTTACTCTAAATTATCCTTAGTGTACATACGCAACTTCCATATCGAAGAAGACTGACCAGCAAACCTTGTATTTTGTGTACCCTGAATTTTGGAGATTGGTTCTGAACAGTCCTAGCACTTGCTCTTCAAAAACTCTTCATCTCTCTAACTGGAAGTGAAAGCCATTAGCTCCTATTCAACCAGGCTCTGAGCACCACAAAAAAAACTCGGGTCAAAAGAAACATGTGTAAAAGTTAACAGGCATTTCTGAAAACAGAAAACCACTGTTTCAGACAATACATCTGTGAAGCCAGTTCTCAAGCATAATAGATGCATGAACATTTACAGAAAGCTTCAAGTTTGTCATACACAGACAGGTACTATTCTACTAAGCAGGAGGAAAGGAGAAAAAAGGTGAATCTAAGCAGTAAGTTAGAGTTATCTAGAAAAAGAAAGTATTTTAACAAGAAATCTAGAAAGGTTGAAAGCTAGAAATTTTTTAAGCTTAATATTGCCTTTACTGCCTAATGGTTAGAGAAACCAAAAAGAAATTACAGCTCCTGAGACAAATAAACATGTCAAGCTTCCACGGATTGTTGCCTTGTTCTTTTCTTAATAATCAGTGATTTAAAAATAAGCAGCTACTAACAGAAACAAATGTAATTAATGAAGGATTAGTCTTCCACTCAGATTATATGCTATTTTATGCATGTTTCAAACAACAGAACAGGATTCAGTGTTCACCTCAAAACTCCTAGGTATGAGCCTGGTGTAATTACACTGATAAAGGCTTACTTTGATTTCAGTTCAGCTTCAGAAAAAGTGATGCATATTTAATCAAGTTCCTCAAACACAACAAAGTACAAAGAATCCTTGAAAGGAGAATAAATTAACTTCACCTGAATCTTTTAACCTAATTACAGTATTCATTGAAAATATTTGATATCGTCTTACTTTTCCAGCCTTATGTTCCTCTTTCTGTTTGTATTTCCTCTCCATATCAGGAAAATAAGAAAATAATATATTGTTGGTGTGATCATTCAAAGCTGGAGAAAAAAGTCATAATGCCAAACCATGGTATCCATCAGAAATACCATGAAATTATGATATCCAAGTTACAAAATTACTCTGTATGATCCCTGCTCAAGTGAGAAGAGAGAGTAAAAAAAAATGTTTGTTTGTTTTTTCTAAGTTAGCTATCAGTCTAATAAAGCTGGTTTTACCTTCTTCATGAAACACTGACCATTAAATAATAACTCAAAATTTCACCAAAACTTTCCTGCTCATTGCCTGGTGAATACTTCCAAAATTTCACGAAATGCTACGTCCATCTGCACACCTAAGATAAGAAATTTAGGAGCTGCAAATGAAGAAGGCCATACTGTCTTCAACAGACAAACTGTCTTCCCTGACTAACCAACCATGAACATACCTACAGCCATGGATCATGGAAAGTCTACAGTATATCATGTGAGTGATCTTAGCTAACAGATTAAATTGAATCTTAGATAAATCTGATTAGACTACCATCATTACAAAAATCTCTTGGTTTTGTTTTTTTTTCAGAAGTTCATGATTTCTACTGAAGAGGCAACAGGTTTTTATTTACAGCAGCTGTTTCCATAGGCAAACAAGGAAGTGTCCAATACATATGTCATATAAAGTATGCATATATGCTCTGCTGGAGAGATTTTATACATACCAATGTATGATTTTCTACTTTGAATTCTGTGTGACAGAATTAGAGAGTCAAGGGAGATAAAAGTAGTTAACAGAACTGGACAATACTGCTCTTGAAATTACAATATAGGTACCTAATATTAGGTAAATAACTGTATGTTATATTTAACAAGAAGTCTGTTTCTAAGCAGGTGTTAGAGATTTTAAGTCTGTGATATTTTATGCTGTTGAAAAATGAAGCCAAAAAGTAACTTACTTAATCTTTCATAAAGGCAATACTTTCTAGAAGGCTCTTCTGCAATAGTCAGTAAATATACTAATTATAAAAAATATTTTACTGTGTTTGAAGGAGGGTTATAGTTATGGAACTGAAAGAAAGGATCCATATTTTCAATCACAGCAGTGGTGGATTGATGCTTAACTTTCAGGCAAATCACCAACACTACCATAACTTTTCACATCCATACAGGTCTGTTTCACTTACGGTTACAATACCTTAATTGCATTCCCTGTCACCACAGCTATAGAAAATCCAAGTTCAGTATTATAACCTTACAACTGCTACTTTGAAGGTTAGTTGTCAAAGAAGAATTTTCCAACATGATCTCTTTCAAAACTACTGTATAAAATAACCACACTGTATAACATAACAAAGCTCCACTAAATAAATCTGAAGAGTTTTCCCTTGAAATGTTGCACTTCTTGAATAGTAGTTTGTCATTCCTAGTACACAGGCAAGACTACTTCTTTAACTGTAGTTTTTGCCCATTAACCTTGAAATGCAAGTATTGCACAAAATGCAGCTAATATATTTTAATTTCTGTTATGGTCTAGCTTGAAAGCTAACATCTGAGCGTAGGATAGAGATGCATCCAATTTTATTCACAGTAACCACACAAATACCACCAGGCTTAAGAGATGCTAAGCAACAACCTTTCTTTTAATTGCTCCTTATACTTAGAGTGACGTTACTTTATAATATTATCCTATTACTGATTTTCATAAGAAGAAGAATATTATTTCAAGTATTTCCTATTTTATTTTATGCTAGATTTTCACTTCATGCTCTTAATCATTGTAACAGACAAACTTTCCACAGGTTACTAGCTGTTCATTTATCATGAATGATATGAAATGATCTTCCCCTTCACCCCATCAAAGAAGGAGGGGAAAAGATTTCTACTGATCACATTAGGTCACATCACACATCAAATGCATTTATCTGAAGCTTCCAACTGATCCTCCCATCTTTGCCACTACAGTTTTCTTTACCAGAGAGACTGGCATTCCCTTCTTTACTGGAAAGAGCTGCACAGGAGTTATTGGTCATGGTCTCTGCCCCAGAACTTTAAATCAACTTGCAGACATTCCAGCCTTACAATGTATATAAAGAACAAATAATTCAGTTCACAGAAAAATGTTGATAAGAAGCAGAGTAAAAAGGAGAATTTCATAGGTTTCTCATACTCTGCATGTTAATGAGACTCATTATGGTTGAAATAACTGAACTTTGTGAGCTTTATGTCCAGATGCATCACACTGTTATATACTCCAATGAGAAACAGCAGGACAGTGATTATCTAAAGCCAAATTATTCTTCAACAAATGGGCAAACCCAGACAAGAAAGACTATATTGTTTATGTTGCTGCGCAAAAGCTCTACCATCATTGAGGATGCTATGAACACTCTTAAACTGAGTGACAGGAGAAATCAATTTTCTGCCAAAGAGGATGGCAGACACTTTGACAGGTTGCCTTCTTTTCATCCGTGGCACTTCACTCTGCTGTAATACACACATACGTGCTGAAGAAAAGGTAGAGCCATAGATTATTTTCCATGCTAGACTTGTTTCTCTGTTTCTGGTATGTGCATTCAGATCATCCTGCCCACATAATTTTTCTGCATGCAGAAGAACAAGATAAATTCTCAAAGTTATTTATTTAAATTCATCTTAGAAGTGACAGTGTCTAGCAGCTACCTAACAAAGGAATATTCTTTCATTTCTATTCCATGTATCTCTTTGGAACAGAAATACCTCAGAAAACAGTTTTGTATGAATAGTTAAGTGAGAAGTATCTGTTCATTTATCATGGATGATATAAAATTATCTTACCCACCCATCCCTCAGAAAAAAAAGGAGGGGGGGGTAGCAAAAATATTTCTACTGAAACCACACGGTGATATTTTATTTGGAATATTCAATACCTCAAAGATCCAGCCAGGAAGAGGCAACAGGCAGCACTCAGCGACATTAAATACAAGAGATCTTCCTCAAATGAAAAAAAATCCCTGATGAATTAATTTCACCCGACTGCAGAAAAAAAGGCAAAATGAGTATTTTTATGTTGCTCTGAGGGAGAAAGAGCATCTCAGACAAGGATTCTTAAGAGTTCATTGATACCCTGTCAACAATGATGGCAAAAAAAAGAAAAATCTCAGGCTCTCTTCATCCTGGGAACACTAATACTGACAGGGACCTAGATGTAAAATCCCAGAACTTCATTCTCTGCTTGCTGTCTCAAGAATCTCACATTTCCACTCTAGTCCAACAGCAACGAGGACTAAGTGTGCTCTTTGGTTAAGTTGTTCTGACAGAGAACATCCAAGACAGGGATTCCACTGCACTAAGGCATGGGTCAGATCGCTGCTAATTCCTTGGTAGGAATGAGGACAGATTGCTCTTATCTGGCTACAAAAATTTTCACATATCCTAAACCTTGTTAAAGAACAACAGCACCTTCACAGAGTCATTCAACTCTAACAAATCATTTTCAGTGTACACTTGCCTCACGGGTTGTCATTCGAGCCCCCCAACCAAATCCCCTATCAGTTCACCACCCTAATAAATATCTTCCGCTTCATTGTGGCAGGAAAAAGGTTGAACCTTGAAGGACACACTGAAGTCTCACATTACATGCCAAGGGAATTTTATAATCACTACAGCTAAGAAAGTGGTCAAATCTCTTACCAAAACTTAACAGAGGGTGTTATGAGTGGCAAGCTGAGTTAGACTGAAACATGTCCATAAGTAGGTATTTTTAACAGTTTTATATTCCCAGAGATGACTACATTCTCCCAAATGCCAGACAAACTAAAACAGTTTCAGCTTCAAACTTGTGAAGAAAAGCCATGTCCCTTCTGGGCTATAAGACATGAAGTACAGAGGCTGCAGCTAACCAAACAGGCAGGACTTCAATGCAGGACTCTTCCCTCCTCCCTTGCCCAAGACATTGACTAGTACTGAAGAAAAGCACCATGACCACAGTAGTTTTAGACTGTTTCTCACAAGTGTCAGAACTGTAATTTGGAAGCAAGACTATAAAGAATATCTTCAACTAAAAGATCACCCTTTTGAAGTTAAAGCAAACTTTAAATTTACTGTTAACAAGATTAAGATGGTCAGCATCAACTGTATTTCATGTTCCTTTGTGTCATCCAGGTCTTTCCTGGATCTCAACAGAAATATTCAAGGATATGTAAGTATAAACTGTGTGGAAGCTAGTTATTTTGCATTTTCTGTTCTCCTAGCCATTCTCTCCATAATTTTAAAATAAGAGATGACTCAGTTTGCTGGGGTTGCATGAACAGGTTGGTTATTTGGTTTGTGTCATGCCATAGAAAAGAAAATTGCTGAGGTTTGGGGCTGTGAATCCCAGAAAACGATGGAGAGGAAGCCTTGCTTTGGTACAGTGTGTGGGATTGCTCATAGTATGATGGCACTAATAACCAGTAAGAAACAGGAACAATGACAACACTGAAAGAGTTGAGCAAAACAATCCCCTTCCTCACATTAGAATTTCCCTCCAAGAAGCTAGCAGGTTGGAGGTTTTTTAGGGTATCATTGTTTCTTTTAAGTGCTGTAGGAAGCATAAAGCACCCACACTTGCTGCTTACTTTGGAGGTAGGGTATGACACAAAGGGAGATGGAAGAAGAGGAGCAAAAACTCTAAGAAGCATTCTTTATGAGAACAAAGAAGAAAAATGTATAGCCTATATTTTAATGACAGATAAACACATTTTTCAAAATCTTGCAAATAAAAAACCAAACCAACCAACCCGAAAAACAGCTACCAGACATACCGCAGCAACTTATTCCAAAGACGGAAACTGTACTTTTTCCTGTAGAACTAGCTGTTGTGGCAAGAGCCATTGCTAGGTCTCTACTGCCCAAGTGCATGAGGTAGCCACCACTTCCAACAAATATGCTTTTTGACTCTGTTTAAGAAGGAAGATTTATGTGCAATTGTAAATTTGCTAAAAATTCACAATTGCACACACACATAACGGAACAATACTATAAACCCAGTGTTTTTAACTGAAAAGCACCCTTCAGTGAATAGGATGAGTTCCGTGGCTTGCTTTGTTCAGATTGCCCAGGCTTCCCAAACTCAGAAAAATATAACTGTCTTATCTGAATATGAAATTAGAGGTAAACAGGAGTATAAATGATCCAAGAACTCATTTCCTGTTACTGGTCAATTTCCAGACCTTCAAAGCAAAGAAGTACTCACTACAAAAAGACCAACCAACCAACCCACCCCAACCCAACCAATCAAAAAAAAAAAAAAAACCCTGAAAACCCAGAAGAAAGATTATTGGGCTTAATCATGACAGTGTACTTACCTTAATATACATACAATTTTTTTAATAGCACATTGGACAATATCCTTGGGAGAAAGACCTAGATCTCCAACAGCCACTTGTAACAACTGTTGTATCATGTCCAGGGATTGACCATCTATACACATAGCTACTGCTTGGTCATGGATTTTTTCTTTCTCTGACCTTGACAAATCATATAAATAACCATACTTCCGTAGTGTATCCTGCAAACAGATAATTTTTGAACATGAATCAGTGTACTCTTTACTTACAGGGCTGTAATTATTCAGAGTCTTTCTTTCTACCAAGATTTAACATGCATTAGAAAAAATAAAAGACTGATGGAATTGAATTTTCAAAAACCACGTCAACAAAAACAAAGGTACAAAACATTATTAAAATAAAATTGATTGATAAAGTTGATGTCCATTACCACTAGTCATGGAACACTCAAAACAAGCACCTGATTAGTTATCATTACCTGTTCGCTGTTTTTCAAGTAAGTGATAAAACTATGAGTGAGTGTTTCCAGATGAGCCAGAGATTGCTGCAAGTGATTCAGAGTTTCTTCATAAGCAACAGATGGATTTTCAGCATCTTCCGTGTCATTCTCAGAAGTTTTTTTTCTTGCTTTCTCAGACAGATGTTTGACTGCCTTCATAGTCTTCTTAGTCACTTCTATCCTGGTTTCAACTGGCAGCTGAAAAAGATTACTTGATATTTAATCATTCATCATCTGTACACTACTACATGTATTACAGCAGTGCCTAGAAGTCAGGTGGCTCCACTGCTCTACAACGCAGCATAAAACTAAATGAAGTATTTTATGAGAAACAACTGTATTTCTTATTAGTCATTTATTTAAAAATTATCAGTATCCCATTATTTTATTCTGTTGTCCTTCTTTTTATTGATCTGGCTCATTTTAAACTATAGGAAAATTCTTTTCCCTAATAATATTGATGATTTTTTCAGGCTGCCACCTTATAATCTTTGTTTTTTAATTCTGCATTGAGAGATGCCTGGGGATCATTTTACAAGATTAACCGAAAATCCCAAATGCTGAAAATTAACTTAAGGTTAGTTTCTTCATGTTTAGATCACTGTTTAAAACACATCCCTAAGACCACAATTGTAAGCAAAAAACCAGTATGAGGTCTAAAACTCTTAAATCAACCTATTTAAAGCACAAGTTATACAAAACAGCAAGTTACTATTTTGAAAGACCTGTACAAGTAGATGTATCTAGCCACTAATCAGAAACAACAAACTCCGTGTGTTTTTTCCCCATTATACTTCTCATAGTGTTTGAATTTTTAAATGGAGTCATACACACACTGAATGAAGTTTTCCCCTACCCCACCACCTAGCATGAAAGCATCATTCCAGTGCATCACAATGGAATTCAGGACTTCAGAATGCAGCCTGGGCAACGATCACAGATTCCCAAGCTTCCAGAAACCGAGAGTATGTTGGAAAAGGATCTAGACAGAAACACTCTTTATATAGACAATACATGCAACAAACAGTTGTGCTTTTAAGTCAGGAGAGACACAGATTCAGCTGTAAGTCCAAAACAAAATCTGAAATACAATTTTAGAAATTCATGTATAATTTGTTAGTTTATAACTTCAAGTACAGTTTTAAGGATGCCTGCAAGATACTTTCTAATGGGTGGGGGTCTCCTCTGCCTAAACCCAGAGCATTAGGTACTTTTAACATCTGTGTTTTAGTTGCTGCAACACCGGACAAAGACATTCAAACAATTTTAATTTTCAAGTTGAAATACACAAGAAATAGAAAACAAAGCTTACATGTGTATGACACATTGAATCGGCAAGAGGCTGAATTACCACTATCTACCGAATTAAACTATCTACTTACAAAGCGACAGAAAGCTTGATAAGGATTAGGTTGCAGAAAGTTTTACAGGTTATATACTTCCTTCCTTCCCAGCCCCCCCTTCCTAAAAACACACAGTGAAAGATGTAGGGTTTACTCCTGGTTTTCTGTGCTGTTGCTGCAAACCACAGCAGGTTTACTGGACATTAATTTTTAACTTGCCAGCATTAACATGGTAAATACAAAGGGTATTTTACCATTTAGTTCCAAAGGCAACTCAGTTTCATTCTCATCAAAAGTAATTAAGTATGATTTTGTTACTTTGAACAAGGTCTCAATATCAGGTTTTACTACAAGCAAGGAAAAGGTGATACTGTTCAGATCACATTAAAATTTAATGATCACAGATGGATTTGTACATCCATTTTGTAAACATGATAAAAGATGAAAACCGCTACGTATTTCATTTTTCCCCTTCTACTGCACATCTAATGTTTAAAATGCAATTAAGAGACACAAAAGGCAAACAATTTAAGTATTCCATCTAACTGTTATATCCTAAAGAACAGTGTGAATATATTACCAGTTTAGAAGTCATGATGCCATAAGCACATAGAGAATAAAGCATTAAAAAAAAAGAAAAAATACAGGTTCTTCCCAAGACTATTTTAATTTTGCATTCATATTTGCATAATGCCTAAATGTAGCACTGCCAATATAACACTTCTCTGATTATTTTATTCCAAAACATGAATGGCTATCCTCCACACTTCTAGTCAGCTTCAGTAATGAAATTTGGTATCATACCCAGTGAGAAAAAAAAAGTAGCTTAGAGGCTAGTTCAATCTTTGTTTGCATGTGAAGTGAAGTTTATTTTTAAAAAGTTTTTACAGTTTAAAAAGATTTTTAATTCTATAGGCTATAATGTGTAAAAAAAAAAAAATCCTAAAAATCTGGTTTTCAAATCAAGGAACATCACGTACTATTTCAGCTCAACAGATTTCACTCCTCAGGATAAAAACTAATCTCAGAAGCCCATTTCCTTCAGATTATGTCAGTATTTCTTAATAAAGTATTATACAAGTAACATTCACTTGCACATGAAGATGCTGACCCCACCACTCTTATTGCCAGTGATCAGCATGCAACTTCGAGATTATGGAAACAGCTCCCCTCCTTTTAACACCACAGGAACCTGGGATCCCAGCAACACTGAAGCATAGAATGATTGAGGTTAGAAGGGATCTCTGGGGGGCATCTTGTCCAAACCCCTTGCTCAAACAGGGTCACTTACAGCCAGCTGCCTAGGACCATGACCAGGTGGGTTTTGAGTATCTCCAGTGTGGGAGACTCCACAACCTCTCTGCACAACCTGTGCCACTGATCAGTCACCCTCACAACGAAAAATGTTTCCTGATGTTTAGATGGAGCAGTTTAGTCCAGTTACCATCTCTGCCACTAAATCCCAGCTTTACATATTCCACCAAGCAAATGTCATGTACCCACAAGCCAATCAGGTATACCAAAACAGAGAGCAAATGACATTAGTTAATTCAGAAGTAGATTAAACAGTTATGGAATAACAAAAGCTGTTTCCCAATTCCTACAGAGGGAGAGAAAAAGAAGAGCAAAAGCAAGCAAACCTGTCGATCAAGATCAAGATAGTTTAATACATGAAGGAGAGTGGAAAAAAAAAATTAACAAACCAAAACTAAGTGATGCAAAGGCAATCACTCACCACCTCCCACAAGCAGACCAATGCCCAGCCAATCTCCAAGCAACAATCATCTTGGAAGACAGCCTCCAACCCCATTTGTAACTGCTGAGCATGACATTATATGGCATAGACCGCACCTGTGGCCAGCCCAGGTCAGCTGTCCAGGCTGTGTTCCCTCCCCACTTTTTGCCTACCTGCAGCCTACTCAGGGCTGAGGTACTGAGAAAAAGAGAAAGCCTTGACACTGTGCAAGCAGGCTCAGCAATAGCCAAGACACTGGTGTGTTATCAACACTGTTTTTGTCACAAATCCAAAGCACAGCCCCACAGAAGCTGCTATGAAGAAAGTTAACGCCATCCCTGCCAGACCTAGTACAGTTCATCTGGAGATCAGTATAAAAGTTCTAATGCATGTAAGGAACCAGTTAAAGAAAAGACATTATTCATGAAGTTTCCTATTATGCAGTCTAGAAGCAGATTTAATTAAAATAACTATATTAATGGCAAGGCACAAGAAAGTATCTCAAAATGTACTGATATCAGAAAAAGAGGTGCTGTCAATACCCATGAGGAAAACAAGGTCAGACAAGACAAACCAACTGAACTGGAGCACAGTGATAAAAAGTGATAAAAAGAAGCCAAGTAATTCAAAAGATAACATTTGAATGCAGTCATGCTATGTAAGAACACTATTAACACATTTCTTGTATGTCTTCAGGCAATGTCATGCCCTGTCTTTTTCCTTATCATTCTATACAGTGTTAAGAAGTCAATCAGCCAGACAAAAGATACTGAACATTATTTTGAGCTTTTTTTTTTAACTAAGCTTTTTATACAATTATTTAAAATGGCATTTAAAGTCACTAAAATTGAAAGATAAAATGATCCAGGTTAATATCCAGTTGTAAAAGGTTCCCATTCCACAACCATTTGGTGTGGTCAAAATGCAGACATGGTATTCCTGCTTAAGCAAGAAGAAAATGATCAAAAAAGCACCACTGACTCAGAAAATAAGAGTCAACCTTCCCATTAAAAACATTAAGTAGCAAGCAAAGTTCTTCCTTTGCATCAGAAGTTGGAAAAGAAGTTATAAAGGATAGAACAGTAAACAAAAAATGTCATCAGACATAGTTTGAATGAATATGACCAAGCCTATGGAAGACCATGAGGAAGAGCCTGTGAAAAGATAATTTCAACTTCTCCTTCTCTATAGAAGACCTAACTGACGATACCACTACTTTTTATTCCGCTTTAGCTGTCTAAAGCTGTAGCTTTTTCTTCCTAATCAACATATTGTGCCCATTCCCATTTGTACTGTGTGTTCAATAATGAAAACACAGCGATTAAAAAAGTAATTGTTTTCAGTTGTTGTTTTGGTTTTTGGTTTTGTTGCATTGGGCTTCTTTTTCAGAGTACTGTTAATCAACAAACATCAGGACAATGACCTATGAGCTCTGAAACAGATGGTTCTTTGAAGACATAACTGACTATCTAGTACAATGATAAAAATGCTGACAACAAAGGAATAAAAAAAATTCCCAAATTACCTCAAATGCTTCACACAGATCACACAAAGTGCAATAAAAGGGAAATCATCAAGATAAAAAAGTTGATATAATCATTACTATAATTAAGAATCTAGGAAGTCAGCATTATTTAAAAGCAAACAGAGCTGCTGGAAGAAAAGATGAGACTCAAAATGCATGTGAAAATATAAGCAGTAGTTCCACCGAATATTTGCAATAATTCCCTTTTAGGGAGAATTCTGTTCCATACATCTGAATAACCTAGCTTACCACTACAAAGATGGACTGAAGTATTATTCAGCCAGAAAACCTTATATTGGTTATTCAGAATTAAAAGTATTTCAGAGTAGAACTGCTATAAGCAGGAACTCTCTCACTGCTTTCAGTAGTGAGCTGCTGTGGTCGAAGGATCAATACTTCAGTCCTTCAATGTTTGAGAAGGGTACTGATGAAGAGTAAAGGACTTCATCTATTTCACTTACCAAAAACGTAACAGGAATATTGCATCAATCTCTACCTTCTTCAACTGAAGGTGGATGCTGACATACTGGATCCAAAGAAGATCTGTGATAATAATAGAAGAGCTGGGGGGAAAAAAGAAAACAAAACAACCCCC